GCTCCCTTCAGGCCCCATCCTCACGTCTGGGGGGACGGGGTCTCTTTCGCCCAGTAACATACCAGAGTCACGGCCTGATTGGGGACCAGGGCTCCCAAGGGAAGGGCTACTTCCTGAAAAGGGGAGCGTCCACTACCACGTGACCACGATGGAGTGAGGAAAGGTCTCCATGCCTGGGACTCGAGGAATCAGGGCACAGAGGGGCTGGGAGGAAGGAGCCGGAGTTGTGGGGCAGGGGGAGAAGGGGGGGAGGCAGAAGACTTGCTTAAATAAAGGGCAGGTGGGATGTGTCTCAAAAGAGATGTTTCCGGGCCCCGGAGGCAGTTTGCAAACATGGCCGCCAGCGCCTTAAAGCCCCTGTCATGAAGAGGTGGGGGCCCTGCTCAGGTTCCTCATCTGCGTGTTGTGTGGCTGCGCTGCCCAACAGAACGTGCCAGAAGTAACTGTAAACAGTGTCCGAGGCCGGGTCCCAAACAGCCACCTAGCACCACGCCCCGTGTCCCCCACACTGCGCCGCGGCGGCCATGTTGTGAGGCGGCGGCCATGTTGTAAGGAAGCCCCAGCTACACGGAGAGGCCGCATGTGGCCCCAGCTGTGCCCAGCCTCCCAGCCACGGGCATCCAACATGTGGATGAAAAGCCCCGTGGATGACTCCACCCCACCCCTGCACACCCAAGTCACCCTCCGCCATTCGAGTCTTCCCAGCCGACACCCCCAACCTCACAAAATATGGGGACGCTCGCAGCGTCATGCCCTGTCTGAACTCTGACCCACAAAATCGATGCGCAAAATAAAATGTAAGTCTGAAGGTAGTAAGTGTGAGGGGTAGCCGCCCCCATGCCTGGAAGATTCCATCTAGTTCAAAAGGCAGCCCAGCCAGAACAGAAATCAGATGCCTGAGGCCAGTCACGCTGGATTAGGCACTGCTTTTCCATAGACCCAACGCAAGGCACAACGTCAGATCAAGTAAGTTTGGAAAATGGTGGGTCAGATGAGTTTCGCAGCATGAGAGAGAACCTTCAATGCGTGGCGCACCTGCCCAGGAAGAAGACAGATTGTGAGTGAGCCAACACGCTTATGGCTCCCCCCCTACTTTTAGTAAAAACAGCCAGACTTTCCACTGAGAAACCACCCCTCTCCTTCCCTCAGCTGTTAAAACCTACGGTCATTAGTTATAGATCATCTGTAGAAAGAATTTCTAAATATTTTCTGAGTAGTTGAGTTGCAAAACTTTCTCTTGCGGAGCGTCTGACTCACTCCCATGAAGGGCTTCTTCCTGGTTCCCACAATGGCTTCTTCGTGGAGAGAACAGGTCTCCAGGAGCACACAGTGCCTGCCCTCCCAGGGTCTCCTCGGACCACAGGCCCAGCAGACCCTGGGGATGCTCATCACAGGGGGTCAGCCGCTGAATCCACCATGATTTTCCATCCCACATGGATTCTGCAAAAGCTGGTGCTAAGGGCCAGCCAATCAGAAAGTGATAGTTGAAAGATCTTAATTTGCGTAAATCTTTCTAGAAAACAAAAAGTGAAGGCTGCTTGTGTGTCAGAATGTCTCCTGAGCCTGTTTCCACGGGGCTGCCTTTAGGTCCCAGGAGCTACTTGTCCAGATGAAGCCACACGTCTCAAAAGTCAGTTCACCTCTAGGGACCTAAGAGCATTTTCCTTTCCTTTTTGTTTTTTTTTGTTTTGTTTTTTTTTTTTAATATTTTATTTATTTCTGAGAGAAGAGAGCGTGAGCAGGGGAGGGTCAGACATAGAGGGAAGCACAGAATCTGAAACAGGTTCCAGGCTCTGAGCTGTCAGCACAGAGCCCGACGCGGGGCTCAAACCCATGAACTGTGAAATCATGACCTGAGCTGAAGTCGGACGCTTAACCGACTGAGCCACACAGGTACTCCTTTCCTTTTAAAAAAAAAAATTTTTTAATATTCATTTATTTTTGAGAGACAGAGACAAAGCACAAGCAGGGGAGGGGCAGAGAAAGAGACACAGAGTCCAAAGCAGGCTCCAGGCTCCAAGCTGTCAGCACAGAGCCCAACGTGAGGCTTGAACCCTCAAACCATGAGATCATGACCTGAGCCGAAGTCAGACGTTTCATCGACTGAGCCCCCCGGGTGCCCCCTAACAGTGTCTCCTAAACTCCCAATTACTCCTGAGCCATCTCGTCCCCGAACCCTGTCCTCTGTGGACTAGAGCGCTCCGGCCTCCCTCCTCTCCCTCCGGGAAGCTGAGTGAGAAGCGCCCATCGACTGTCCCCAAGAGAGTGTTGAACTCTGGGGAGAAGCAGACTCGGTCAAGTTTCCACATTTGGCCCCGATGGATCCACGGGCAGAAAAGGGACTTTGCCAATACGCCAAGTGTCTGGTTGCAACACGCCGGAAGGCCATGACTCACTGTGGAGGTTTCTAAGAAAGCCGGCGATTGGCCCGGCGGCCACCCCGCCCGGGGGGGGTCACAGGCCAGCGGGAGGCCTTGTCTCACGCTGAGCTGACCCGGGACACGAGCGGCCACAGCCCACCCAGCGCAGAAGGGCCCCTGCCTTGGTTTCCCTCTCTCCTTGCTGAGGAGGAGGGCAGTCCCGGGACCGCGTGGCTCCTCCGAGGCTACAGAGAGTGTGTGTCGCCCGTAGACGCGGCCTGGCGGGTGGGCCCCCGCCCCGTGGGCTGGCTGGGGTCTGGGCTGTTCGGCAGGCATGTGTCAGGAAGCAACCTCCACCCGGACCAAACTGGGTGCCCCCGTGTGCCCCGAAGGACCCGGTGCAGTGAGCATATGTGTAAAGGAAGGATACGTGTCCCTACTGCGTGTGGCTGACACAGGCTGGGGGAGGGGGGGACTCGTGGAGATCACGGCCACCACCCTCCAGGAGACGGGGTGCTGGCCTCCTGCTCCGGCCACACCCTCGCACTCCCTCCTCCATCAGCTCACAGGAACCCAAACACGGGCCCCCGGAACTTCCTAAAAACATAGCAAGCCCCGCACTTCCTCCAGAATATTCCGTATGATCTGCCAGCCTCCATACCTTTTTGCTATTGTTTCGGGGATGAGCGGGAAAAAAAAAAAAAAAAGCAAAAAAATCCTTAAATTCACAATGTATTGTTGTTTTTTTAACCTCCCCCCCCCCCCCTCGCCCAAGAATCCAGAATCAGGTAAAAATGATGAAATAGTTCAGTGACTTCAACACACAAAAAAAACGGAGCGCGAACCAGCTTTTAAAAAGGCACTTTATTTTAATAAAGAATAAAAGAGATCAACATTTGTTTTAATTGGATACAAAAATAAATATTCATTTAGCATATTCGAGATATACGCTTCACCCTTCGTTTGAGCTAGAAACCAAAGTCAGTGCTGCCTGACGCAATTTCAGAAAACAGGCGTTATTCCCGAACAAGGTGGGGCTGGCTCTGTTTGCCAAAGAGGAAAAGCCACTTCTCTGAATTTTCCTACATTTTCAGGTGAGTTCAAGCACATCTACACGGCCTGCGATGATGAAGTCTTGCACACACTACCCCTGCGTGACCTTCTTCGGCTTGGATTTTAAGTTTAAGAGACTCGTGGTTGCAGGGCCACCAGGTTGGCAATCTTGTCCCCCAAGTCCTGGCTTCTCCCGCACCTCAAGGTGAAAGCTGACAGCTGAGGCCCCGTCGTGCTGTCGCCGTGAGTCAGGGCGGGCAGCAGGAGGCTGGGCTGTGCAGCAGCAAGACGGAGGCGAAGACTCTTCCCCGCTCCGCGCAAGGGGTGGAAGGAAAGCCCACAGACCCGGCCCGACCCTGCCTGGTGTCCACACTGAGCCACCGGCAGGCGCCCCGACCCTGCCTGGTGTCCACACTGAGCCACTGGCAGGCGCTCGGCACGGGACACACGCATGGGGGGGGCACCCCGACCTAGCAAGATACAACTGGCTTTTTTCCCCCCTAGAAAAAGTATCCAAGCGCTTTGGAAGGATGAAAGTGAGGTCAGGGCGGCGGTGGAGAGGCGTCCCGTGCGCGCTGCAGGTCGGCGGGAAGCCTGGCCCGCCCTCGCCGCTTGACGCTTGGTGGGGCAGTAAGTGCATCGGATTGGGCAGCAAAGAGCGTGACGACCTTCTTCTGGGGCTAAAGCAGGGACTTCCCCCACCACAGGGCTCTGCTGACAGTAGGATCTGGTGTGGCCCCAGGCCTGGGGGCCGGGGGGTGGGGAAGGTGTCCCTGCTGCCACCCACCCCACGACCAGGGCACGCCTCACCCACAGCCCCCAACCCGGCCGAGCCGCGCCCACACGCACACCACCGGCGGCTCAACGGCTTGACCGACTAAAGGCACAGATCAAAACGCTCGCACAGCCTACAGTTACCTTTTTATAATCTACGACGACTTGGCTTTTTGAATTTGTGGCTTATAGCCTGCTTACTTTATATTTTTAAAAAATTCAAAGCAGTTTACAAAATGACAGGTAAATCCCGTTTTTAAAAACCATTTAGAAGGAAGGAAAGAGCGAGGTACCTGGGATGATTGGATTACAGAAATGAAAAAAACAAAAAAACAAAAACAAAACACATTGAGCTCGAAGCTGCCCGGCCAGGAAGGTCCAGAGGGAAAACCTTCCCTGTCTGGAGGGGAAAACACACCTCCGGCCCCGGTGATGGAAATGCTCTCGGGGCAACGGGTCCCAGGGGGGCTGCGCGTTCCTCCGACAGAAGCCGAGAGATCTGCTCTCACTCACTAACAGGCAGGCTGCCTTCTAAGTATTTCTAAATCCTATCAACAAGCCGAAAAGTAGAGACAGTCCGCGTGGAATTGAGCCTATGGAATCGTGAATCTGCAGCTCTCACACAAGGTAGAGACAAAAAGGAGACTTGTGCTAACAAGTGGTCTCTTACTCCAATTTCCCGCCCTCCCCCCGCCCCCCAACCCCGGAAGCAGCTATTTGCTAATTAACACTGCCTGCCGCGTCTTTGGAAATATCAATGATCCCGGAATTGCCGAAAAGAATCTGGCAACTGATGATCATTGGGAGCAAATGCAAGGGATACATACAGGTTTTAATCACTGGTTAGAGTTACAGCATCTGGATCGTTTGGGGCACGTGCCTACATTTCTCCCTGCTCGGGAGAAGTGCGACCCGACTCCGTTTTGAAGGTCAAGTCCCCGCGGAGAGCCCTTACTAAACGAAGAGCAGGTGAAGCGTCCCCCCGCCCCCCCCCCAGGTCAGAGGGACCCACATCCTTCAGTAATTACGACAGTAATTGTAATAACGAGACGCGAGACGGGGGCAGGATGGGGCGCCCGCGCGAGCGACTTAAACCGTGATCTGCTGGTTTTCTCTGAAAAAAGGTCTCTGGTGTGAGGCACAGATGTCCGGAAACATCCGGAAGACCTGGTCTGGCTGGGGCTCCTCGGGAGGCTGCACCATGGAGCCGGAGCCGCAGCTCTTCCTGGCTTCCTCCACCAGCTGCTGGACGTACAGCTGCTCGATCTAGAGGGACGGGTACAGGTCAGGCGCGGAGGTGGGAAGTGGGGTGGCCCTGCCTTTGAGCCCAGCCAGATTCTCTGACTGCCCATCCAACAAGGTCACCGGGAACCTCCACGTGAGCCCCAAATGAATGAACCCCAAGCAGGCAGGTACGAGGAAAAGAGTAAGGAGTCTCCCAACGTAGTAGCCGGTGGTCAGAATTCCACCATTAGAATTGCATTCCTTTGACTACATTAAGCAAGGGCTTGCAAAGCCCTAATCCGTTCCTCAGACCTTGAGGCAACCGAACCTTGCCAGAAAGGTGGAATCTTGCTAGAAAGAGGGTTTTGACTTAAAAGACAAACAAGAAAGGCAGGGCAAGAACACATAGATTGTGAGTCCTGGGACGCGGTAAGGCGGTTCCGAGGCGGCAAGAGTCCAGAGCGCCACATGGAGGTCTCCCCCGCCCCCCGGGCCTGCCTCTGCCCACAGGTGGGGAGCACCCAGCCCCTGCTCCCCGTTCTCCGGCCCAGGTATCGACTGGGTCCCGATGTGAGGGCCAGCAGCCCGGAAGCCGCCCGTTCGTACCTGCACGAGAATGAGCTTGGAGCGCAAGGGAGTCATATCCGGAAACTCTTCTCCGAAGCACAGCACCACCCGGCCGTCGGGAAGGCGGCTCTGGTTGTTGTAGAATTGCTGCAGCTCTGGAAAACACGAAGGGCAGGGGGCCGTGTCCACGACGCCGCCACGCCTCACTGCCCCGCCCCGGGGAGCGGCGGGGGGGCGGGCTCTCGTGGCTGTCACACCTGAGCCCACTTTCCCAGGAGTTCTCGGGCTGGGCGGCTGGAGAGGGCTGACCCTAGCTCGAGGCAGGGGCCGTCACGGGGCCGTGCGTCTCTGCACCCCCATTCCTCGTCCTGGGAAGTCGAGGCACAGAAAGCGCCCCCGCCGGGGCTGCTCAGCGAGAGAGCGCAGCACGGGACCCCTGCTGCACCCCAGGTCGGGCCCGGACTCGGGGGACACGAGGCGCGCGCGGCACGCACCTCGGAAGAACTGGCTGGTGTCGAAGACCTTGACCACCTCGTCGCGCTCTAGCTTGTTGGGCCGGTCCTTGCACAGGACGGCGTTGCCGCTGCAGAAGACGCGGCCCTGGCACAGCCGCTTGACGAGCACACCCTGCCGGCTGCTGTGCAGCAGGACGCCGCGCTCCAGGTGCCCGAACAGCTTCCGCGTCACCTGCCGCTGCCGCTCGCTGGGGATGGCGTCGGCCGGCGGGAAGCGCACCAGCTCCAGGCCCTCGGGCCCGTACAGCTTGGCGCCCGGCGGGCCCGGCGGGCTCAGCGCCAGGCGGCAGCCCTCGGGGCAGGTGGTGGTGGTCTGGCCCGCCAGCTTGCCCCCGTAGTAGAAGCTGATGACCATCTGGGAGAAGGCTGCGGGGGAGGGGGAGGGAAGGGGGGGGAGAGACAGGTCAGGGGCGCGGGAAGGGGGCGCCCAGGGCTTGCCTTTCCCCCAGACGGGCCGGTTAGCTGCTTGTGTGCCCGGGGCCTCTGGGCATTCTGGGCAGTTCCTGCACCCCTTCTAGAAATCATGTTTTTATAAGCCCGAGCACACACGCAGGGTTACTAAGGAAACCAGGGACTCGAAACGCGAAAGAACTATGCTAGCGTTCTCCGCTTCCCCAGGAAGGTCATGGCCACCGGCACGGTGATAAGTTGGGAGCACTGGCCCATTTCACGCCACTGTCACACCGTACGATGTCACGTGCTACCCGTATGTGACACGCCGCGCTATCCGTGATCCGACAGGCACACTGTCTTCTGCGCTACGTAACAGTGTGGCCTGAGACCTGATTCACAACGGACGCAAGTGCGGGATTCGAATTCCGCGTCAGGGGGGACAGAGATGCCATTTTTTTCTTGACAAATTCTCGTCCTTTTGGGGGTCCTTGGATCTCAAATCATGAATCTCTCCAAAACCCTTCTGTTCTCAAATTAAGAGAAAATCACTCAAACTAAGTCAGCATTTCCCCAAACGCGCCACACGTGAGAAGATTGGGGAGGGGGAGGGGCGGTGCCCCAGCGTCGGGTAAATGAAAAGATGATTCAATTTTCAACGTGCTCTCCGTCTCGGGTCACCTCACGAAGAAGGCCCCGTGGGGCGCCTGGGCGACTCTGTCAGCTAAGCGTCCAACTCTCCGTTTCGGCTCGGGTCATGATCTCAGGGTTGCATGAGTTCGAGCCCGCGGCCGGCTCTGTGCTGGCAGTAGGGAGCCTGCTTGGGATTCTGTCTCTCTCCCTCTGTCACTACCCCTCCCCCGCTCACGCTGTCTCTGTCTCTAAATAAACAAATAAACAAAAAGAAAGGGATCCTTAACACCCACCCTTTATAACTCCTTTAAAAACAGAGGGCAAACACGGCTCTCTGAGCCTCGGGCGGTGCTGTTACGGGGCCAGAACTTCTGAGCTCCGCACCTGCTTCTCATTGACTTTGCTCTGACCTCTGCCTTCCTACTTGCTGCTCCTTTTCCAGGCAGTCACAGATGGTCTCCCTTTAAAATAAATTTAAGTCTTGGGGCGCCTGGGTGGCTTAGTTGGTTAAGCGTCCAACTTTCGCTTAGGTCATGATCTCGCGGTTCGTGGGTTCGAGCCCCGCGTCGGGCTCTGTGCTGACTGCCAGCTCGGAGCCTGGAGCCTGTTTCAGAGTCTGTGACTCCTTCTCTCTCTGACCCTCCCCTGCTCACGCTGTCTCTCTCTCTCTCTCTCTCTCTCTCTCTCCTAGAAATAAATTTAAAAAAACATTAAAAATTTAAAAAAATAAATAAATAAACTTAAGTCTTAAAAAGTGACATTTAGCGGGGTGCCCAGGTGGCACTGCAGGAGCCTGCTTGGAACTCTCTCTTTCTCTTCCCCTCCTCCGGGCACGCACATGCATTCTGTCTCTCTCAAAATAAATAAAAACCTTTTTTTAAATCACATGTAGAAAAAAATAGGATGTTAATACGAGTGCAGGTGGTGCCCAGATATGAACCCCACTGTGAAAGTGGGGCTCAACTAACTGAAGTCTGGGAACCTTTAGGCAGGAATGAAGCCAATGGCTAACTTTTGCGACAGCCCCAGAGAAATCTGCGTTCTGATAGCTTTAAACTATAAGAATTACAGGCACTGTCCCCAAACTTGGTGAGTTTGGGGCACCTCCTGAGTGTCCCAGACCAGTCCAGGGCCACCTTCTGGAGCCACACAAACTGTGAGCTGCCCCTAAAGTCAGGCAGTACACCACCCACACAACAGTCAGGGGCAGCCCTGGGGGGGGCCACCGCCTCACCCAGGTTAGTACTGCTGTGTGCTTATAATTCCTCGGCCTCTCTCACTGGGTTTGTTTAAGAATCCTTTGCTCAATCAAATAATAAGACTCCCTGCTACCGCGGGAAAAGGGGAAACATTGGAGTTAAATGGCATTCTAGAATCACGCTGGGTTGGGAGCTTGAGGCGTTCCCATCCAATTCGTTCATTTGACACGTGGGAAAACTGAGGCCCAGCTGGGGTCACCCGGCCGGCGAGCGGCAGCGCCGGCATCTGACCACACGCCTTGTTCTGCCCAGTTCCCCATGCTGCGCACTGTGCCAGCTCTGTGCCATCTGCAGCGCCCGATGGCTCTCTCCCCTTCCCTCACTCCAGAACGTTTCTGAACTTTGTCCCGGACGAATGGAACCCCAGATGACTGTCCCCACTCTGCACCTTGGCCCCGTCACCGCCGAGGCCTTATCTCACACCAGCGCCTCGCGGCCCAAGGGAACCGTAGCCGGTGTTCCGGAGGGGCCCAGGTGAGGCTCCTAGGGACCCCAGGGACACCAGGCAGCTGCGCTTGGGGGATGTTCGTGCTGGAGAGGCCTGAGCGAGGCCCGCCGCACCCGGCGGGTGGGCAGCCGGAGGGGACCCGCGGAGCAGCCGCCTCCAAGGCCAGCACGCAACCTGGCCAGCCCTGATGGGGTCTCCACAGCCCGCCCCGCCTCGCCCCTGCGCAGCCACCTGCCCGCCGGGGGACGCCCCCCCCCCCCGCCGTGGCAGCACAGCGACGACTGGACTCCCCCACGCGTAATCCCCGTGGTGACTCGGTGCCTCGGTTTCCCCACCAGCAAAGCAGAGATCACTGTCGCAGCCCTCCCCAGGCGGCCGAGGACGAGCATGAGCAGCTCCTAAGGAAGCCCAGGCCCCGGGACAGGAGGCTGCGGAGATGAGACCCCCGAGGGGCGAGCCCTAACTCCTGGTCTACGCAGCGCTGCTCTGGGCGCTGGACCGATGAGCCCGTTTCCTCCTCGCAGTGCGAGGGAGAGGCTGCTGCGTGCTGTACGCCTCTTCCAGGTGAGAGGCCGGGTGTAGACAGCTGAAGCCATTTGCTCTGGTGGCACAACTACGAAGCGAGGGGCCTGGCCTCACCGACCCGCCGGCATGTGCGTCCCGCAGCGCCGAGCCCGCCCCGGTCTGTTTCCAGACACCACCCTTTCCCCACGGCTGCGAACACCGTCCAGCGCACACACCGGCGGCCACGGGCGTGTCCAGATCCACCAGCACGGAGGGGGGTCGCCAACCCACATCTGTTGCCAACACTTCACACGGGCAGGTTTCACCTAAAAGTCCAGACTTTCGGATCTCTCTAGAAAAGTGGGGACCCCAAGCCTGGCGGGCTCCGAAGCCCGCGGGGCACCATCTAGCGCCGAGCGGCCGAGCGGCAGGGCCCTGCACGCCGCCCTTCCCGCTGCCCGCTCACCCATTACCCCGTCCCTGCGGCGCTGGGAACAGGGGACCCCCCCATCCACTTATTTACACAGGGCGGGGCCGGAGACTGTGTGACCTGACTGGGGGGACCAAAGTCCACAGCTCCTGGAAGAACGTTTTAGGGTTTTCTTTGCACGCGGTGCCGTGAGTAGCTTGACATGCTGTGCGCAGGGACAAGTCGGGGGCACACTTCCTCCCCGGCACCGGCCCCGGCCCTGCCCCGGCCCCCCCCCCCCGCCCCCAGAGAGCACCAGTCAGCGACTCCCCAGGCCACAGAGCTGACTCGGTCACACACCCGGCCCTGTGAGCCAGGGCACCCCTGCACACGGCGACCGCTTGCAGCCGGTGCCTGGGTCTGAACCCTGCTCACTTGCTGGGTGACCCTGCCCAGCGATTTCACCTCTAAGCCTGGGTTCCTTCATCTGTGGGGCCAGGGCTGTGACAGTCCCCAGCTCGGGGGCCGGTACGCAGTGACAGGAGTGGCCTGGGCGGGAACACTGTTTCCCGGAGACTTCTTGCCTGGGTGAGACCCTACTCCACCACCCCGAGCACCCGTCCCACGAGGCCCTGGGTCCAGACGCCTCCCTGAGCCCCATTTCCTCCTCTGCCCCGGGAGGCCTCTGCAGACCACCCCATGAATCACCCTGCGAGGGACAGGAGCTTGGAGACGACGGCCAGAGGCCATGTCCTAGCTCTGCGGCCCTTAGGCTGTGTGACCCAGGGCTTCTGAGCCTCTGCAGGGAACAGTGTGGTGGGAGGTGTAACGAGATGGGGCCTGAACTGGCACCTCGTCAGGATTCAATGTCAGCCGCCACCACCACCACCACCACCATCATCTCCATCACCACCATCATCTCCATCACCATCATCTCCATCTCCATTCCCATCACCACCATCATCATCATCTCCATCACCACCACCACCATTAATTAGCACCATTACTATCATGAACTTGGATGTGGAGGAGAGTAAAGGCAACCGACAACGGGGACTTTTTTGGCCGGCGACTTTCCTCCCAGAAAATTAACCCTGCATTTCATCCTCCCAGAAGAGAAGGGAGGCTCTGAGTGGTTCAGTTACTCTGCCCGGGGTCACACCCGAGAGGCAGAGCCGGGCCTTGAGTCTGTCTGTCCCCACGCCCTCTCCTGCCTAGTTATGCTGCCAGGAGCTCCTTGGATCTGTTTCCTTGGTCGAAGCCGAGAAGAGGCCGGCCCCTTATGTGCTCAAAAAGCCAACAGTGAGAGCATGACCTGGGGTCCTGACTTCTGACATGAGAGCGGTTCATCCGCGCACCCTCGCACACCCACTCGGGTCCTTTGAGCTCTGCCGTTGGCGCCCACACCCCGCCGCCCCCACGCCAGCCTCCCCACCCCCCCCCCGCACCAGCCCCACGCCAGCCCCCGCGTACCTGAGTGGTGCGCGTCGTAGGCGGTGTAGCCCGTCACCAGTGGCAGTCCTGTTGGAGGGACAGAAGAGCACGTCGGGACCCAGCTGTGCGTGAGACCCGACCCACAGGCCCCCTCCTCCAAAAGCTCCTTTAAAAGCCACGCGAGGCGTGTTCCCGAGGCTCCCAGGCTCCGCCTCAGGCTTCGGCCAAATCCTGCGTTTTTCCCTCCCAGCGCTGTGACCCACGCTTCAAAAACACAGAAAATCAGACCTCAGCTCGACCGGCAAAGAGGAGCAGGAAACGTCCTCTGTGCTGTGGGGTTTTTGACCAAATGCTGGTGTGAGGCCCTCCCCCCTCCGCAGGGCCTGCCTTGTCTCCAGAGGGAAGCCTGGGGCCTGAGCTCGCTTTCCTGGGGGGATCTGCACCGTGCAGGGAGAGGGGGTTCCCCCAGGGCCCCCGAGGCAAACCTGCCACCCCACAGCCTGGAGACCTTTGAAGCCAGCTGGGCCGGAGTCGCCTCCTCCCACAAGGAACAGTTGGGGAAAGGGGTGTGGGGGGCTGCATCAGACACTAATAAATGCAAGGACATCACGACCCTATGGGACAGGCCCTGGCGTCTCCATTTCACAGATGAAGAAACTGAGGCTTGAATGAGCCCCGCAGGCCCCTGCCTCGCGACTGCGGGATTCGAATCCAGGGTGCCGGTGAGTGACCCCAGCCCTCACAGAAGAGCCACCGCCCCGCTGCCCCCGGCTGCCCGGAGGCTGAAAGCAGTCGGTGCCTAAACCACTCGGCTGAGCCCCGCGCGCCGGCCGCGCTTGGGGGGACCCTCGGCCCCCTCCTCACCTGCGCTCGGTTGCTGGATCCACCAGTCTGGGAGAAGCTGGCCCCTGCAGGCCTCGGGCGGGGACGGGCTCCTTTTCACCGCCCCCATGTAGTCGTCCACGGAAGGCTGTACGAACAGGGCGAGAGAGAAGAGCACTGCGGTCAGCGGCTTTCCCAAGCCGGGCTGTGGCGTCCGCGAAGACCCACGGCCTCGACCTCCTCGCCAAAGCCACGCTGTGCCTCTCATCCTCACACAGAGGGAAGGTTTTCACTTCACATCTCGAAAGATCCAAGACAAGCCCACCACACGCGGTGATCAAACCGCGCGCCCGACTTCCCGGCCACCGCGGGGCCCTACGAGCTCGACTGGCCTTGTTTTGTGAAACCGCCTGCTGCAAAACCAAATGGCCAGGCGGCCCGGCGGCCCCGATGGCCCCGGGGAGGCAGACAAGTGCAGGGGACGCGGGGCCAGCTCTGCCGCGACTGGGCGGGGCCTGCTCAGCATGCCACGCCCACTCTCCCGCCCTCAGACCCGCTCCCTGAGGGATGCAGATAGATCCGAGGAAGAAGCATTTTGAAATCTGCTTTTCTCAGGATCCCGGCGCGCCCCTCTCAGCTGAGTCGGCAGAAAAGGCTCGTCCAGAGAATGGGACCAGGTCAGAGGGACAGGAAGCAGGGGATTCACTTGGCCTGCTGCCAGGGGCCACCCGGAAACCACCAGCCGCCATCGGCAGCAGAGCAGGCTGCGCTCTGGTACCTGCGGCTCCTGACGGCCAGGCCACTCCTAAAGGCTCTGTGACCGCCAGGGGCACCTTCAGAATTTCCACAGCACCCACACCACCTTTCCCCAGGACCGCGCGGGATTCCTTCAGCTATGCAGCGGCTGCCTTGTACCAGCCATCAAAACGGAGTTAAGAGGCGGATGGTAATAGAAAACGTGTACCTGCGGAGCTAATGCTGGAATCCAAAAACCCATGCGTTTTGCCTCGGGAGACCCTATTAAGCCTTTACTTATAGCCTATTAACCATGAGTTTACATACAGTTCTAACGAGCTCGAGCACCTGCCTTTCCAATCCAGTGAGGCCCAAAGCCTCAGATTATGAAGCAGGAGGCCCACCTGCCCTGAGCGCCCCCCCACAAGCATCCATGTTGTCATGACAACCCCATGCTGCAAGGGGAGTCTACTTTTTTTTTTTCACTGTGGCTGAAGCGGCCAAGGGAATGCAGGATGCACTTTTCATTAGAGTGCCAAGCAACAGGTTTAAAATACGAACAGTTTAGAGCGAGAAGCAATGCGCTCAGATGGAGGAGGGCGACGAGGCGACGGGGCAGCCAGATGGCGGAGGCTGGCCTCACCCTCCATCTGGCTGCCTGAGGCAGGAGCGGCGTAGCTCCCCAGAGGGACCCACGTGGTGCGGCCTGCTCACCTCCTTCATGAGCTCGTCGATCTCCGAGCGCCCGCACTCCATCTCCGTGAGGTCGCTCACGCAGCCGGGAGTCGCCATGCCTAATTTGCCTGCGGGAGATCGGACAGACGCGTGACAAGCGGCACTTCAGCGAGGCCAAAATCAGTGTCATGGGGGGTTTTCAATGCTGAGTTGAAGGAGAGAAAAGGCAGCGAGTGTCTTCGCTGGTCTGGGAAAGGCCTGGGAAGCATTTCCCATGATGCTCTGGGCCTCTGAGGGCCAACGTCAAAGGGAGAAGCCGGTTTTGTTTCAGATGCTCAGAGGACAAGGACGGAGGGGTGGCTCGGCCCCGTTCGCCCCGACGGAAAACGAGGTCCCGTCGGACATGCCTCGCGCCAGGCGGCCACCACGCGACCGGTTCCACTGACAAGTCAGGCGGTTTGAAGACACTCAGAGCTCCTGGCAAAATGTGTGTGCAGACTGGAGTCGTTTTTCAAAGTTAAGTGGCAGGAAGTGACACACCGCGCACATCTGTGCACACACACCGGGCCCACGCGCAGGGCCCGGGGGCGGGGGCGGGGGACAGGCTCCGTCAGGCATGGCCTGCAGGCACAGAGCGACCCGACAGCCAGCCCCCCCAGGCCCACTTCCTCCCCACCCCCACCCACCCCCAGAGATCTGCCTCATCATGTGACCAGAGGGCCCTGTCTTTTAGCCCATGGACTCCTGATGGACCCATCCCTCCATCCTGACTCAGCCTGGATTCCACTTTGAAAGGCTCCAGAACTCGCCAGAAGCTGCTGGTGGGGGAAGCGGGTGGTAGAGGGGCCCCCCCGCCCCCAGGTAGCCTGCCAGCCCCCGAAGGATGAGCATAGCGGGTCCATTTAGACATTATGCAAATGCAGCGTCCCTCTGCCCCCTGAGAACCCGGTGCTGCTTGAGCCCCCAGCCCTGCAGGTGACGGTGGCTGCACCCCGCGCTGTAAACAAGCTGGGGTCACCTGCCGGGTCAAGCTCGGCCAGTCCCGGGCTGGGGGGGGTGCACCAAGAGAAACTTCTCCATTCCTTCAAATCACAATTCGCTTTGTGATGACAAAAGTTACCCAAAGCTTGGAGGTTAAGTGAAGCAGGAACGATTCACGCTTGGTCTTTCAGACCTGCCCCAGGGGGGTATCTAAGAGGTCTCCCTGTAAAAGCCATCGGATTCGCGGGGGGGGGGGGGG